ACATTTTTAATTTATCTGTACTAGTAACACTAGGTAGTGGTTAGTGAAACAAATGAAAATGAAGTTCAAAGTAAAACGTGCTTTTACATCATTTCTCCTAATTTGGCTTCACTCATTTTCGTTTAGCAGTGAGAAAGAGATCTATCTGTCTGACATGGTGGCGGAAATTAGAGAAGAATGGATGCAAACATACATTACAGCGATATATTCCTTATGTACACATGTAATTTCTACATCTGAATTAAAAATTCGTCAAGGAAATTTGACTATAGAGCCAATTTTACAACGGAATAAGACATTTTGTTGTTTGGTGTTTGATTGCTTTGAGCCGTACGTTCCTACAAGTAATTGCTCGAATCGTCTACACAGTCTTCAATATTCAGTGAACAGGCAGTATTTAGAGTATACAATATGTTTGGACGCCTATAAATACCGCGATGATAATTACCAAACAAGTAAACCTGGTAAACAAGATTCTAGATTGTTTGGACATTTAACAGTTGGTAGTTGTCCGAAAAATTCTAGTTCTCACGAGCGCTCATTATGTACAAATGTGACAAACGAAGAGTTACAGCCCCTGACAGATACAATTCCGGTTACAGCAAATGATGTCCATTTTACTAATAGATTTTGTGCGGCATGTCATGGTTTCAAAAGTAAATATACGTTTTGGGATCTGAAAATACAGTAAGTGCATCATCTTTACTATATCGACCATACTTGTGCAATGAAGATATTCGACATTGATTTTTTTGTAAATAATTGAATCTTTTTACCCGTGCCTATCAACAGCATTTATCAAGAGCAATCAACAGATGGTTTCATTTTGTAGAAGAAATCACTTGACGGAAGAGATTCTATCAAAACATTCTTTTAAATTTTAAAGATGTTTCAGTATCATAGATTTGATAAATTATGTTATCGAATTCCATAAAATGCTATGTGAATCATTTGAATTAAAATTTTGGGATAAACCATTTATGCTAGTTCGCCTCACAATATGTTCCTATTAAACAGACAAATGTCCCCCTCTCCTCACCCGGAATTGTTTTATTTCTAAAAATTCTTTTGTTTGTTCTGAGCAATACTTTTCTGAAAGCAATTTATTGAAAAAAAAGATATTTTTTTGGGCACATTTTAAATATGCTATATTCAGATGCTTTCCATGTTTCTGGCAAAGATGCATGGTCAATTGAATTGAATTGACTAATGTTTACTTTAAAACAAAATAAGGTAATATCCGAACTCGAACACGACCCCGCTAAAAGTGAGAGACGTTTGGTTTACGTATGCCTCATGATCTTAAAACATCCTAACGTCTTTTTTCTAATCAGGTTTTAAGCATATAGTAAACATGCGTTAGATAGTAATTGTGTTCTTGGATAATTTGGCGCTACAAATGTGCTAAATGCCTGCAATTCTGGCACTGCACTTTATGTACGAATTGTTTTGCAACTCCAGAATAAGTATGATATAATATCGACTGATTTTATTAAGACGGTTATCCTTTATGTTTTAAAAAGATAATCTACAACTTTTACTTTAAAGTTACTATATTCTTAAATTTCCAAATTTTCTATGAACGTCCAAAATTTAAACCGAGGTTAGCGACTGCTGTCACATATTTGTGGCATTATTATCTGAACCTTTTCATAACTCGTTTTTTTCTTTCAGATGTGCCGATACCTCAAAGGAACTATATGTTTCACAAACCAATATAAGTAGAGTTATAAAGGAAAGGAAAGACTGTTTTCTACAACATGAACCTCCTGTCCTTGCTTCAACACTACCCATGTGCCAGTTACGTATAATAAGGTCGTGCAATGTATCAGGAGGTTGGACAAACTACAACAAAATAATAGAAGATCTGTGCTTACACCCTTTTATTGAAAGAGTATTTTCAAAAAGGACGGGTAGAAATGAGATAAAGTAATATGCCTTTGTCAAGTTGATATTTTATTGTACACATTTCTTTTTACGTTCTTTCTAACTTTACAATTATTAAAATATTCGGAATGATACATGGGTAGGATTTATTGTAATTGCTTATATTTACATGTTTCGCTTATTAAAATAAAGGTTTCTGAGAATTTCTAGGCCTATACAGGGTCTTTCAATTTCTATTTGAAAGACACTGGCCTATATTGATTAAGGTTCAAAATATTAAAATTAAGGCTCATTAGCATTTTAAATAATGAACCTACAACATGCACCTACCTGTATTCTTGCAACATAAAGATCGACTGACATTATGATAATATATAAAGTATATAGTAAAGATGACGCTTAGCAAAACAAATAAACAAAAGACTTAACTTTATTAAAATTAAATACATTTTTTGTTCGCTGGTTCAACAGAACATTCATTGCAATTTAGCTGTCATTCTACTTATGATTAATCAATTATACGCAGAAGTGTAATTTAACTATTCGTTTTAACATAAATAATGCATTTACTGCTTATCTTGTTTTTCAGGTACAAAAATGTATTTTGTGCAATATGTAATGGTATTTCGAAAATAGGGTCTGGAGACTGCATGTTCCCCCAAGATCCCCCTGCTTTACCTCCAGATTTTGACATGCTCATTTCTTTCAATACGGAAAAGTCACATGAAACCGTTGAGGAAACTCTCTGCCCACTTCGACACATTTTCATACCTCTTGCAGTAAGTTAGCTTGTTGTTGTTGTTTTTGCATGTTGGGAAAATTGTCGTCTGCTAAATTGGCATCTTATCAATTTTTCATAGTATCCAATCTTCTCAAGATGAATTTTAAAAAAGCTTGATACTTGGTATCAGGTGTGGTACCGAGCTCTTTGCAAAGGTAATTGTGTCCGCTATTCGCAGCCTTAGTGGAAGCTTTTTTATTGGGCCGACTTTGATGGTACATGTTCACAAAATTTCATGAGTTTGAAATAATATATTTAATGCACATGATGACATGCAGAAAGAAAAAAATGCTGTATTCATTATCCAAGACATCATGAAGAATATTTCTTAACTTCTCGTTATCAATACAACGCAATGTTAGTATCCTTCCGCGCTGCTTATTTGGGGATCTTTGGTTTATTTGGAGGCAGTGATCTGGTGGCAGGACTCACGCTAAAGGATTATTATTCAGATCGTTCTTTTTGCCCTAAATATTATGTGTACTTTAGTCGTCTTCCAATATGTACATGTATGTACAATAAAATAACATTAAATTAAGGTATAAAATTACGATCTGGGAACGAAATATCCATTGTTTAAGACGTTTCAAGTAGTACACAGTAATACTTCCGTGAGAAATTTTGTGCATTGCTTCGTTTCTCGCAGATATAAAATGGGTGGTATAATACCGTAATGCGGGGTATTATCAGGCACATGTTTCAAAAATGAATATATTTTTCCTTCTTTAGAAAGAGTGAACATGAGTTTTATAATGTTTAAATAATAGTGTTAGATCATGTTTGATGCTTAAAATAAGTACAAAGTACCAAAGAATGTAAAATAATTTGTCGTAAAAAAGCAAAATGTCAACAAAGTGGTATGACTTCCATACAAACAACTTAATTATAATAATAACAAATTGCTTACAAGCAACAGCACTATAGGTTATTAGCCGTTAAGTATCTAACCAGCAGTAAAGGTACTTCGCCGTTACGTATCTAACCAGCAGTAAAGGTACTTCGCCGCATCGTATCTAACCAGCAGTAAAGGTACTTCGCTGTTACGTATCTAACCAGCAGTAAAGGTACTTTCGCCGTTATGTATCTAACCAGCAGTAAAGGTTCTTCGTCGTTACGTATCTAACCAGCAGTAAAGGTACTTTCGCCGTTATGTATCTAACTAGCAGTAAAGGTACTTTAATCGTCTACATGTTCCAGTTTGACACAAAATTACAATTGCAACTACTCGGCCCTTTCCGCCAGTCTTCGGATAAGGACCTCGAACACAAAAGTATGAATACACAGAACGGATGCGGTATTTCGGTCTAATTAACCTACGCTAAGAAACTAAACATGTTAACAAATAGTAATTTAATGCTTGGAGTTGTTGACAAGTTTATTTCCAATAAATGTAGTAAAAGTCTATCTAAAATAAGTGAATTCATAGGTTCAAAAGCAAACAGTACATTATTTATGATTTATTATTATGGTTGTAGAAACCGAAAGTACAAAAAACCAAGCTGTTGACATTTAGTCGGATTTGTTTAAAATTGAACATCAGTGGGCATACTTAAATTACAAATTGTTGTCAGACATATTTTCTCCCTAACCGGGAGACACGTTAGATGTCAAATATATACATTCGTTTTACTTATCTCTGTTTCTTTTTACATCTGAAACCACGAACTAGAACTACTTTCAATCCGTATTGTTTCCGGGGTTATTATAGATAATAGACGAGGCAGTTCCGAATGACAAAATTATTCACGTTACAATTACTTCAGTTGAAAACGGATGTTTGGTTTTTGACTTTTCGACAAAAAGATATTTTATACGCGAAAAGAACTCTAGGGTGCAAAGAACTAATTTTATGAGAGTCATACATGTAGTTACTTCGGCGATGCCCTATCGTCGAAAATAAGAAAGAACCGAGAAAAAAATGGCGGCCATTTTATTTCATTTTTTAGAAAATAGACCACGTGACCAGATTTTATACAGTGCAAAATTCTTAGTCACGTGGTACACTTGTATTAACAGTAAGAATAACTCCCAGAGGCCTATAGGAAATTAACATTAAGAAAATTGAGGGGTAACTGTATCATATTACCCAGGGGCAAGTAATCTATATAGATTGTTCTAGTTCCCTCCCCTGGCCGCAATCGATGGTTAAAAAATTACATCGGTATACACATAGCGTGATTTGTATAGATTGTAGTTTGTTAGCCTTTGCCAAAGGCTAACAGTATGCTGATTATTGCAAGTTAAATTTTGAATTGAATTGTATGGTCACTTATTTTTCATTAATATAAACTTATCAATTTATTGTCTTTTTTTTCTTTTGATTTTAGAAAAAGTGTATGAAGACGCACTGTTCCTCTCCGATGCCAACGGATATTTTACACAATAAATGCTCATCCCCATCACCCGTTAGACCTGATACGCCAGTCAGAGTGGATAGTGCATACAAGGTGCGTCTGGACACCGTTATGACACTGTCATTACGACATGAAGTTGCGACAGCCATTTTAGCAAGTATATCCGAACTATACAACGTAAGATATACACTGATGTTTGCTTATGAGCTTCAGGAGGTCATACACAATTGCACTGATGATGTCGAGGGACATTTCGACGTTGTATATTGTCATTTTGAAATAGTTACTTTTGGGACACAGCACCAAGAGGCTTTAAATTCAAGAAATACATTCCCTTCTGATAAATCAATAACAATAAATGGAACAGCCGTCAAGATTCAGTTTTTACAATATGTAACTGATCCTAGTTTCACAGCTTACGGCAAAGGTCGTACTTCAATCGAAAAATTGGAATGCATTCACAATCCATACAGCAATGCCGTTCTCATAATGTTTCCGTTAGAACGTTACTGGCCTATAAATGCTCATAGAACATACAGTATTTCTTACATGGACTGTCCAAGTAGTGTGATACCTCTTCAACTGTTTCACATTGAAAGATATGAGCGTGGACTTCGTTTTCCGGAAACAGACGTCATTGTCTCCTTCAATGATTTTAAAACATTCAATTCTACACATGTCTTTGTCTGTCAAGAGACATTGCTCGCCATGAAAATAGTATCAAAGGCCGGAAAAATGACAGATGGTTACCGTGGGTCGATTGTTCTGTTGCTTTACATAGCACTACATAAAACAGTGCTTTGAATAACTGACAGACTGCAGACGACAACAACACGAATTTTGACGACAAAGACCTGCACATACAAGATTTTCACTACATCCAACATGAAGTATCAAATTTTAATGGGCTAAAAAAGTACATGTAACAATGTCATCTATTGCTCAATATTTATTTTTAAAACGAATCAATCAATTGCCTATGTTAGGCTATAATTTAAGGCTTTAGCAATGATCGTTTTATATTAACATCTAGGTAATTAAGCAACACAAAAAAAATCTCCAAAAAATAACTAATGTCGATATTTTCATACACATTCTTCAATTATTATATATAATTATAAAGTTGTTACATTATATTTCAGATAATAAAATCTAAAAGCATACCACAAGACTGAATGTAAAACATGAAGTTTTTCTTTCATTAAAAACTAGAAAGCAAAATATGCAAATTGTATTAGAATGAAAGTCAATTATTTCCATGACATTAATCCTACTTGGACATGAAGTCAAAATATTATCAAGACATTTTCCTATTTGACAATGCATTAAATCATTTTCATGATTCTACCTAAATACGAAATCTATTTATATTCATGACAGTCATGGACAGAGCTGCATTACTGGTACTGGTACTGCAGTACATACTGCAGTGTTTTTGCAAGTATTGGTACTGATACTGATTTTCTTTTACAAAATGTTGCTACTACTTGTACTGGTACTGCATTACTGTCTTAAAAAGCGGTACTGCTACTGCATTCCCTGGCCGTACTTTGCTTTTGATAAAAAAATGTCATCAGTTTTTCTCAAAAAGTGAAGCTGTAAATCACATGTGTTATTTTATTTTTGTGAAAAAGTTAGTTTTCAAATCTTACTTATAACTATGAAAAACAAGTTATAAAAACTGAAGAAAAGATGTATCATTTAAATATGTAAATATACATTATATGTTATTTTATTTGACAGTGTTATTTATTCAAACCATTATGATATGATGAAGCTAAAATCTAGTACTGGTACTAGTAATGGTACTGCATAACTTAAAAGTACAACACCCTTGGTACTGATGCAGCTCTGGTCATGAATTCATGATATTGTTCCTAAGTTGACATAAAATTAACTTATTTTCATGGCATTAAACTAAATTATTCTGATGAAAAATTACAACAGTAACTTCAGAAGGAAAGAAACAATATTTAACTGTCTACAAAATTTAGTGCATTTTATACACTGCGATAATCTATTATGCAGAAAAAACCTTCCCATCAGGGTCCCTCAAAATGAACACTTCTTAAGTTGTGAGCAAATAATTGTAAAAAAGTATAATTGTTAACTGATTATTACCAACATGGAAAGAAATTATGTTTGTTTTTCTATTCAACAGTTTATATACATATACTCATAGATCTATATATTCCTTTAAGTCTATGATAATCATGGATATTACATTAAATAATATGAAGTATAAGATTTAAATACTAAGGAAAAAACACACAATATTATTTTTTCATAATCATTGCAATATTTCAGACTGTTATAGGTCTGTTATAGGTCAATTTGTTTCTAAAACAATACGTACATATAGAAAATGAAAAAAAAACGATCCTGATATACTGTGTCAAAATCAGCCTGAATTCAGCGCAATTCCTAGCAACATGAAAAGGCCTGGTGATTTCTTCAAAAAGTGTTTTTCTCTGTTTTATTTCTGGATATAATAATACTAAGAAGTATATTGATTTCTTTCTCTGGCAAGAAAAATATATATTCTATAGTCTTTGTTATAACACAACTATAAATATTTCAATGTAGTTTTCACCAGAGAGGCAAATAGGGACAAGAGGGAAGATAACAATCAAAGAGATGAGAAGAAAACAAACCTGGAGAAAATGGAATGCTTTGAGTACTTATCACATTTAAATATCTTAGAAGTATAACTGAACTATGGTTAAGAAATTCTCTGCAATCACAAATAGTAGATATTCAATAGTATGATACCTAATGTGCCTCATCCTTATTTCAACAATAGTTAGAACAAAACAAAATACAAAACTGCTATAACTTGTGTGCAACACTGACTTTTGTGGAGTGAAACATGAAGATATTTCTGCCTTGACATGAAAAAAACTTGAAAAATGAAATATTTTAACATCTTTAAATATGAATAGTTGATGAAATTATTTGTCTTAAAAAAAAGATTTTTGAACTTTTTAGTTATATCTGAATTATGAATATATAAATGTGCAATCTATATAAAATACATGTACAGTACATAACATGAATTATGCAAAAGGTGAAGCATTACGGGATATGATAAAATCACAAGATTAAAATTAGCATAAAAAATATAACATATCTTATAATGCGATAACAAGGGAATAAAAATGAAGTAAAATCAATATGTAATCATCTAACAAGGAATTAAGAAAATATATATACAACCAATTGGACGGTATCAAATTTGACAAAATCATTTTTCATTATTGCTAAATTATGAAATAATGCATAAAAATGTTTGCCTCCTACTTCCCTAGCAACCATGTTTTATTTCCTCTCTCCCTAGCAACTCTTATTATTTATGAGCCATTTTCATTATCATTCATAAATACCATGTATTTCAAATTATCTATGTTTTATTTACAGCAGATCTGACAGCAACATGCCTCGATATTCATATTGATTTGTATCAAAATTTAAATCATTTAACCAAGTATTATTCACTTACAATCCACTTTTGTTTATGTATAACATGTCTAAATATCCAGAGATAGGTCTTAATATACATGTATTTATCAATTAAGTAACATGTAGAAATAATTGTGGTGATAATTATAAAACATTGTCTTATTTTGGAGAACAAAAACAAAGATGACAGTTGGATTTTAAATACATATCTTAAAATAAGGGAGGTAACTGTCAAAATAGGTTTTACAATTAAATTTTGAGTTGTTTCCCTTAGACAAATTTTCTGGATGGCAGGTTAAAGGGGACCACATGGAAAACAATCTTCCTTTCAGTCTCAGCTGCCACACTGGAAAGGCTGAACAAATTTTAGGAATTAAGTTTAACTTTTTAAAACTGTTAAGACATCTTGAAGCGAGAAGTTTTTAAAGGGGCGAAATAATTTTGCGAAGGACTCAGAAACAAACATTTGTCTTGGCCTTTTTGTGAAACAAACTATTTGATAAATTAAGTGGTAATATTAAGATGAATGCCCTTGAAAGAAATATACAAAATACATATTTTCTTATTTTCTTTCTTACACCGACAGTTTAAAAACTTAAATCTATGAAAGATTACAACATTACCAAATATTCTTTATACATTTGTATCTCAAGCATCAAGGTATTGTTAGACAATGCTCTGCGTGACCATAACCCTTCCAGGAAAAAAAAAATCATTATGCTTTATACTGTAGGCTGATACATATTGATTTCTGTATTTATTAAACCATTAGACAGACTGCCTATAATACATGGGTCTGATTCTGATGTTGTTCATATATCAAAAAATGGTGATTTAAGATAAACATGTAAATCATTAGGCGGTAACTTCCTCTAAAATTTGTATACAAAATTATTGAATATGCCCTGTAACCTGAAAATTCTAATACTTTACTGTTATAAAAAAATATTGTGTGCTAGTATAAGAAGTTTGTGCATCAGTTACATGTAATCTCATACGTTGATAATACTGTAGTGCTCATAGTATTTTATATATCTATTACAGACTGGATTAAAATTGAGCTGCCTCACATTGAAAAAATACATCAATGACTTATCTGTATAAAATTTTCACTGTCATACAGCTCAATTTTGGTAAATGCATGATTTAAAATAGAAAATATTGGCTAAGAAGTTTTTACATGAAAAGGTACATTGCAGCAGTTTAAACAGATACAGTTTAGCTCAAAATGTAAGTTATATCAGATAATACATATATAGTGTGTGCTATAATCATACTGCAAATGAGCATACATAAAATCTTTCTCCAATGTAATCTGTTTAAACCAAGAAACTTCTCCATTGAAGAAAATTCTAAATTCTTAAAAGACCCTGTAATATTTAACCCTTTATACCAAATAATTAAAACTGTTAAAAATCTTATTTTGTGTATTACATAATGGATTTCTGAAATAAAATGAGATCAATGGTGGAGAAGGAACGGTTATATTTGAATGATTTAAAAAACAATACCCTTCACCAAAACGTTGAGTCAATCCTTATCATTTAACAAGGGTGCCATAGTCACAAAATACGCCCGTTTACGAAAAAGCTTTAGATGGAGATGGGGGCATTATGGATAAGTGTTATCTAGCAAGCAAGTTTTTATTCTTGGCACTGTGTTGTTAAATGAACCTTAAAACAAATCAATAGGGAAGATATGCACAGAATGTGTGACCTTGACCTTGGTCGCAGGGACCTGAATTTTATGCACGGCACTCAGCCTCACAATGATGAACATTTGTGCCAAATTATATTGAAATCCCTCTATGCATGTAGAAGTTTTGCTCCAGACAAGTGTTTTTCTATGAGCTCTAACTGTGACCTTCACCTTTGACCTAGAGACTTGGTTTATGTGCAGGGCACTACGTCTCATGGTGGTGAACAATTCTATAAAAGTAACATTAAAATTCCTCCATGCATGTAGAAAATATGCTCCGGACAACATCTGGATATTTAATCATCTCCAGTGACCTTGACCTTGCAAATATTAACCTAAATTAAATGTGTAATGGTGAACATTTGTGCCAAGTTATATTGAAAACCCCCTATGAATGTAGAAGTTTTGCTCCGGACAAGCGTTTTTCAATGAGCTCTAAGTGTGACCTTGACCTTTGACCTGGAGACCTGGATCATGCATGGAGCAATACATATCATGGTGGTGAACATTTCCATAAAGTATTATAAAAATTCTTCCATACATGTAGGAGATATGCTCCAGACAAAATCTGGATATTTCACCATCTTTAGTGACCTTGACCTTGCATATATTGACCTAAAGTACATGTGTCACAGCCGTAGTCATTATAATGACCATTTGTGTTACAATCCCTCAATAAATGATGATTAAATCGTCCCTATACACATCTTCATATTTTTATCTTTTTTTAAACGGGCGTATAAAAAGTACATGTAATTTAATAACTAAAAAATTCTGATTTAAGATTTTATTCTAGGGAAATACATTTCATTACAATTCTTAATCTTTGAATGAGCTGAACTGATATTTACTTGAAAATTAAAAATATAATTAAATTTTCTATGAGAAAGTATTTACATTTGATAAGGTAATTACTGTATGATCTTTATGAACAAATACCAAGTCTACAGAACACCATAGTTATCACAGTTAAGAATCTTGACCAATGAATGAAACATGTGTAAATAAATGTTACATTCTTTACAACATACTCAAGTCCAAGAAAGAGGATTATTTCATGCCCTTTGATTAAATTCTATTTTTAGATCAAGGGGAGTAATTGTGTAAATCATTTATGAACAAAGAAAAGTAATAACTTTGTTGTCTCCCTTTGATTAAATTCTATTTACAAAATCTGGATATTTCATCATCTTTAGTGACCTTGACCTTGTATATATTGACCTAAATTATATGTATCACAGCCATAGTCTTGATAATGACCATTTGTGTTACAATCCCTCAATTAATGATGACTAAATGGTCCATATACACATCTTCATATTTTTATCTGAACTTTGACCTCTATGTGTGACCTTGACCTTGGCCGCAAGGACCTGAATCTTGCACGCGACACTCCGCCTCACAATGGTGAACATTTGTGCCAAGTAATATTGAAATCCCTCTATACATGTGGAAGTTTTGCTCCGGACAAGCATTTTTCAATGAGCTCTAAGTGTGACCTTGACCTTTGACCTAGAGACCTGGTTCATGTGCGCGACACTGCTCCTCATAGTGGTGAACATTTATATGAAGTTTCATTAAAATCCCTCCATACATGTAGGAGATATGCTCCGGACAAAATTGGACGCCGCCCGCCCGCCCGCCCGCCCGACCGCCCGCCCGCCCGCCCGCCAGGGGCGTTCCCATAATACGTCCCGTTTTTCAAACGGGCGTATAAAAATGCATTGTTACACTGTTAATGCTCATAAAAATCTGATTAATTCTAAATTGAACCAATTAACTTCTAAACCTTAAACAGTTACCATAACTGAATACAATAATAATTAAATGTTTAGATACAGTGTGAGGACTTGATGTGAAACAATTGTAATACAATAATCATTTAAAATTAGCTTTACATAAAATGCAAACAAAATGCAAATCACCAGTTTTCAAAATTTAATAAACAGCTTTCAAATGTTAAAAACATGAAACAAAATCTAAAACATCACAATAATAAAAAGTATCTTTAAATTCTTCTTTGCACACTTAAAATAAGCTTTAAAAAAACTTAAACTAACACTACAAAAGAAACAATATCAGGGTACCAGTCTCCCAAAAAAAGCAGACTTGTAACTGGTCAATTTCACTCATTTTGAATTCAAAATCAGCCAATCAAAAGTTTAAAAGCCAGACTGGTACCAAAACTAAAATACAAGCAATAAAACCCTTTGCCAAATAAATGCTTCCATATAAGCAGAACACAATTCAATCTAATATGTAAACACAGTTTTCGGAACCAATGATCTCCCAAGCTATTGTGTATCGTTAAAATCATCTATATCTTATTAAATGACGACAGATAAAACTGTTAACAATAAAAAACTTTTTATAAAAGTACTTTTATTAAAGTTTCTGTTAAACACAATGCAATTTGAAAATTATCAATTAACTAACAGACCTTTCAACTAGAAGGAATAAATCAAAATCTAAACTTTATTTCACTTTGAAAAGTCACAATAGTTTCATATTGTATTAATCGACACAAAAGCATGTTGCTTCACTAATAAAACATTTGAGACATTGCAATAAAAATCTACCATGTAATGGTTTTTCACAGAGCTTCTTACATTATACACACTATCTATTTAAGGACAGCTACACATGTACTTTATATTTAAAATTAAAAAGATTAATATGTTAAAACAAAAAAAAAGAAAAAAATTCATCTCTGGGGCTCCATAGTTTTTATTAAAAACCACAAAAATTTTCTTCAAAATGAGTGACCTGTGAAAAAGTAAGTGTTAAAAAACAATCTGCTAAATGTGGTGCACAGTGGCTTTATGTCAACTTGACAATGAAAATATAAAATGTTTTTGATATCAGTGCTTTAAATTCCATGAATTTATTTTAACAGTTAAAAAAAAAAAAAAAAACACTCTCAATCAAAATGATTCCAACTTTCAAAACAATCCACAAAAACAATACACTATCAAGTAATGAGAACTCTTGAAATAAACATATACTTAGGCCTTATTTTTTGAATAAATTATTATTCAATAATTAAATGAAGTTTGTGTTTTTCTTATTAAGAAAATATTTAGGCAAAAATGTAAGAATGAGCTTGATAAAAAAAATGTACCATTGCAAAACATGAACACATTGTTCTCATTTCCATCTCATCTATATGTTTCCAACATAACACAATCATTGTATATTCACATACCAAATATGAACTTATATTTTCACATACCAAATATGAACTTATATTTTCACATACCAAATATAAGACTTATATTTTCACATTACAATATCATGATGCACACATATAGTAACAATATTTGATTGTTTCATTTCACATTTCTTTGTATTTTCATATTATGTTAATGTATATAGTAAAAACATCAAATTGTTACATATCACATGTCATTGTATCTTCATTAACATTCTGTTATCATAATGTATGCATTCAGTAAACAATCATAATTGTTCATTTTCTCATGTTACTGTATTATCACAAAACAATATTACAGTAATTTCACATCATATTATAGTAGTTTTTTGCAATATATTTCACATCACAATTTCAAATGTCTCACATATTCATGTTATCAAATTCTCAGATAACTTTTTTTCTCACAATACAACATGGTTCAAGCAGTTTGAAAGTTCTATAAATTGATTATGTCATGTATAACCCTTTACCCCTGATAATTTAGAAAACTGAAATCTTCTATATTAGTAAACCAATAAATTTTGTTTTGCAGAATTAAATCAAATTCAAAGATTACTCAAATCAGATTTTAGAGGGGTGAGGTGGAGGAAGGATCCGTAACCTCCATGCCAGGAAGGGCAGTGAGACCCTGGATTTTTTTTTATAATTAGACTTATATAAGTATACTCACATTTTGTCCTTCAAGTTTATAACTAGATTATGCTACTCAATAAAAACTTTGTGTCACATTTAAAAGCTTTAAATGTTTGAAGCATAAAGTACCCTAAACTGGTCTATCACATCTTTGGTATATGAAATTGTTTTATTGAATTCTAGGATATTTTCTTATCATACCTGTGTATTAAATAAATCTTTTCAATGTCAACTTTGTCTATTTTCCCCATTAAGAAAAAAATTCATTTTAGTCAAACTATAAGCATTCACACCTTGTGTTTTTTTTTCAACATATTCCTATAATTCTAAAATATTTATCTGGCAAATAGAAACTTGAATTATAAAATAAAAACCATTGGAAGTAAAATGGTAATTTCTTTCAAAAGCAACTAACAATGTTACCAATTTTTTTGATCAACAAACTTATTTCCTCTCCAGATAAATCATTTATCATATTAACATGTTTTTCAATCTGGCTATGAAATAACATCCAATAATCCAATAATAACATGACATAACATCCATAATAACACATAGTGGAGATAATAGTCATGCAAGATTACTTAAGCATAGCACATAGAGAGTAAGTCTGACTAGATCTTAGGCTTTCCTTTCCTCCAAAATCTTCAGAATTGCTGCACAATTTTCTTGTGCAATCTTGACAGCCCCTTCTATTTCTTCTGATACCTAAAAGTAGAATTATTGTATTACATGCATGTTGGTTGTTGTATGGGAGGATCATTTGAGCAGCGTCATGACAAAACCAACATAATGGGTTTGCGACCAGCACAGATCCAGACCAGCCTGCGCATCCGTGCAGTCTAATCAGGATCCATACTGTTCGCTATCAATTTCTCTACTTGTAATAGATTTGGTAAGCGAACAGCATGGATCCTGATCAGACTGCGTGGATGAGCAGGCTGGTCTGGATCCATGCTGGTCACGAACGCACTATGTTGGTTTTGTCGAGACGCGGCTCATTTGTTTTTTGTTCATTTTTGGCTGGTCGGTCCACATAATTGGCTTTAGTGGATAACTGACCAGTAACTTTCAAGCATTCCACAAGTGATCAACTGCTTATTCCATATGATTTCTGAATCAGCAGTAAAAGACAAATAAACATTATTACTAAGTCCAAGGTTTTTTGTTTCTGTTTTGTTTTTTTTTCTGTTTTTCTTCTTTTTTTCTTTTGGGGGGGGGGGTGTGTGTGTGTGTTTGTGTCCCACCAACAAAACTGCAGTACTGTGGTGATTTTCCAGCTTTACTGGTGCATTATTAAAGGCATGAGCGGGCACCTGAGTAAAACCACCAACGTTCCCTAAGCTTTTCACATAAATGTATCCAAAGGCCATTGTGGCATTTGAACCTACAGCAGTGAGAGGCAAGTGGTTTGAGCTTAGCAGGCAGAGATATGGGATGTGCAATTAAAAAAGCTTAAGAAAACATTTAGATTTTATATAATAAATATATGCACTTTTACAACATACTTGTACATGAAGTTTTGTTCAACTAGACTTGCCCTGATTTAAGATTGGAATGTAAGGAATTTATTATCTAAATATTTCACAAACTACTGCCATAATTAATAGGTGCCAATAATTTTCAAAATTTCAATTCAGTAAAAAGCATGCATAATTTTTACCTTCTTCTTGAAATCTTCATTTGTGACATCACCTAGGTTTGTTTTCACATTATAATAGGCTCCCCAAACTCCTGTCTCCAGCATTCTTACACCAACCTAAAATAACAGTTTGTCTGGTTTTATGCTGCACCAACACAGTAAATGTCAAATAACAGCTTTCCAGTATGGTGGGGGAATACCTCTGGTGCCCCTACATGTATTATTTCAGGCACAAAAGGGAACCTGAGTAGAACCACCAACATACCATAAGATAGCAGGATAGCCATCACATGAAAGAATCCTAAGAACCTGGTGGAATTCTGACCCTGAGCAGTGAGAGTTAAATGATCTTAACCACTCATCCACAAACAGTAAGTTGTCAAAAACCTACCGGCCAAAAACACTTTGGTTTTTGTTTGTCATACACTAATTATAACACACTTTTTGAGTGTATCACAGCAGTCTGTCTTCCAACCTTACCAGATTTCACTGATTATTGATCACCAACCAATAATTACCAATTTCACCATAGTGACTGACTACTAATTCCACACGATTTCTAAATCAGAGAGAAGCCTCAACACATCCAGTTGCCCATTGCATTTGCGAGTGAAAATTCGGGGCGGGCAAGAAAAAAGTATGGTGAGTAAGATTCTCCCGATCCAAAGGATGTTTCTCTAAACATTTACAATGAAGTTATTTGGTTTACAATCAAACTGCAGATACCATTTCAATCGTAAAAACTGTCAAGTAAAAAATGGAAACCAGCCTCATAGCTAAGTATAGTAGAACTTTAACAAATGCGTATGATGAAACGATTTACGTCACCCCCCCCCCCCTCTTCTGTAACAACAGCAGCATTCAACAATGTTCTAAGAGGATATAGGCAAATGACCATATAGACTCAATGTCTGAGATGAGTTGTCTTAGAGAAATTATGCCTTGCCAAGGATCAACCAAGGTTCAAGACAGCAATATTTACCTGTAAATCAGATTTACAGTTGATGTTTCCTATCTTGGCAAGTTCCTTCAATGGTTCCCACAATCCATTAGTTAGTCTGGATACAGTCAGTGGTACCTGTATAGCTGTACATAGGCCATCTTGCATTGCTGCAGAACGTCTGTCAAATATATATTAACAGTGGTATTTTATCAAATACAAATAGCTTTCAAACAATTTCGACCATCATTTATTCCTCATTCACTAACAATAACTACTTAAACTTAACACAATAAATATTAAAACTTTAACATTTGAAACCTTTACATGCGTGAAATTCACAAAGAATATCAGCTTTAATTTATTATTTCTCAGTGAAGCTGGTATCTAGGTAGAATCATAGACCTACTATAACTTATTTCTGATCACGGGATAGATTCTTCAATTGACAGTTATTATTATGTATTAAAAACTTATCAATGGAGGCTCAGTGTACTTACCCTAACCCTGCCCAATTTAAGTAACGGTCTAACATTGCTTTCAATTTGAAACAATCCAACAGTAATGTGAGAATTCAGTATCAAAATACAGAAAATTGTGTTCACAACCGTCTAGTTTGTTTGTTGTTGTCTTTTTTTTTCTTTAACACTGCTTTTAACACATTTTTGTTAATATCTCGACTGTCGATCCAACAATGTGATCTTGGATAAGTAACCAGTTAAATTGCGCATGGAAGACCCGCATGGAAGATCGGGAAACTGAATGTGTTAGCCTCATAAAATAAAGTCGTTACTTACTTACTTACTTACTTACTTAATTACCTTTTTCTAATCCTACATGATTTGTACATCAGCAGTGATAGACAAACAAGCGACCACTTTATTGCTGTCCCTATTACGCTAAGCAGGCGAACAACCAACAGTTTAAAACTGCTCAAATAGTACAGACATACAGATTTTCTTTTATTATCAGCCCTTGTGCTCACTGGGATTAATTAAATTAACTTTAATATTGTTTCAACTTACATATCTTGTTCTTCTTCAGTCTCTGCTGGTAATTTCAATGCAAGCTGTAGAAAATAGTCATAAGATAAATAAATAAGCAAAATTTGTTTTAACTACTCACAAACCAGGCATATGTGGATAATTTTGTGACATGGAAATATTTGCGATTTTAAATCATTTGCAAATATATTTGATTGCACAAAGATTATTTCTTTTAATTAGTTAAACTTTCTTCTATCATTTGAAAACACGTTTTCACACAGCAACTTACATGAATAAGTCTAACTGTTCATTGAACTGAGATTAATTTTTCTCATTGTTAGTTTCTTTAAGTGTTCATTCTCATCAAATCACAAATGTTTAAATGAAACAATATATGTGTTAATAACACAATAAATTATTCATATAACAAGGAAATGTTTCAAAAAATGACAAATATATGTGTGATCAGGTCCTTTATCAATCTTAAAATGTTTTTTTCCATTTATATAAAAAAGGTTTTTAAAAAACTAAATAAACAATTACAATATTCTTACTTTTTCTTTCTTTTCATTAAAAACGTGGGAAAAATTAAATTTTAAAAAGGCATTTGGGGCAAAATAGACAAGTTTTGAGCTTTTGTTTCGCCCCTTTTGGATATTAAAAGGGTTTTAAATTTTGGGGTTTTTTTTCACTCTTACTTACATGTTTCCCTACATGTTTCACTAAGCCGGGGCACAGCATTTGAAGGGTGTAAGCTTTCATTGCCTTTTAAAGTGGTGGGATTACTTTCTTATCTGCCATAAAACTCGAAAAATTTTGTTCCCGTTGTAAAAACCCTCCCATTACCCAAAGGCTGCCCCCAAAAATATAAAATAAAAAAAAATTTTAATGTGAGGGCTTCCCTAAAAACCAAAAAATGAAAAAATCAATAAAATCCTCAAAAAACAAGTAATAAAAAATTTGCTGGGGGAGCCCCTTTAAAAATTTAAATTTGTAATAATTTATCCAAAATTGCCCCCTTTAAAAGAAAAAATGAAAAAGATGCAAAAAGGCTGCTAATTTTAAAAAAATTAAAAAATGTCCCCGTTTAAAAGGCTGAATTTTCCAAAAAAGGGGAATTAAAAGAAGGCTGAATGTAAAAGGGTTTAAAAAACAAAGGAAAATACAAAAAAATTTAAACCTACCTGAGCGCCAGTGGACCTGTCACCCCCGGGTGATGGTGCCCTTTGACCCAACTGTCAGGATAAAGTCTTTCACATCCATACTTGCTAGAGGGCCTTCTCTTTCATCTGTTATCATATACCTGTACAAATATATGGATATATTTATGTTCTATTTCTAAAATAAAATGTTTTGTGGCAAGAAGTACTAAATAACTCTGAAAACAAACAATATTAACTAGTTAATTCCATCTTCTTGAATATATTAAACAATAATTATAAAGACTTTATAAAGATGTGTTTTAAAATTAACATTGGTCAGTTAAAGGGACTCCACTGAGGTTTTTTCTTGACATGATGGCACTGAAAAATATTTTTTCAGGATTTTATATTCATTTGATGTGGGTCTATACCAAATCTTCTATACAAAATTTCAGGGTGCAAAAATATTACCAATGATAAGTATTTTCAAGTATTTAATGTTATTAACTCAATTTGGGCTACAAAATTGATTTTCAATTTAATTCTGTGTATATATTTCTGTATTTTCTTAAACATATTCTCAGTTTTTAAGTGCCCCAGTAAATCTGTAAAAGAAATTATTAAATTTTATGTATTTGGGGTTTGGGACCTCAGCAGAGCTCTTTAAAAGTTGCAAAAGCAGAATGTTTTAGTAGATAAAGAGCTTATGGTTAGCAATTACTCAAACAGTTGTGTTTGCTTCTAGGTTTTGTTTATTATTATAATCATAGTAAGCTTTTATCTGATTCACTAGTGAAACTAATATTCATTGAAATCTTGTCAGGACCACAAATTGCTTTTATACTCTAATCAATAAATACTAAACTACAGTATAGATATAACTGCATGACTTGCTATTTTTTACATGCAAGATGAAAAAAATAATTTTTCAATTTTCCAAGGATTTCAAATAGGCCAGTGTGCACAACCATGAAGTCCAACAAGATTCAAACAAAAATAACATCTTCATAATACAGCATGTTTTGTGACATCAAATTTCATTGGACAATTGTGATTTTTTTCATATATTGACAGCAGCTGTGTATATAAAACTATATAAATGTTCACGATTATCCAATGAAAAAACAACGTTACAAAACATGCTGTATTATAAATAATAATATGTAAGTACATTACAAAAGTGTCATTAACCAAAGCTGAATTCCATATATGTTTCCTATGTACTTACTCTATAATTCTTTCTTTAGGACTAAATGGACCAAGTGAATTGAGGCCTAAATTTATTAATAACCTGAAAATACATGAGGCATATGTTAGTTTAATAAATAGATAGAATCATTAAAAAAGTTACAGAATTCAGAAAATATTTAAAGTAATATAAAAGATATTTCTGACTTAAAAAAGCTCATTGCTATTTATTAGAATTGTTAGAATGGAAAGTTGTGCTATTAGCATAAACAGGAAAGCTGAAACAAAAAGATAGTTCAAAGGCAAAAGTTTAAAAAACATTTAATGCTTAAATGGTGTTAAAGCTTCATGCCTCCAAACGGCAAAACATATTTCAAGAACATCAAACTTGTGAAAAATGTGCTAAGAATGTGCTAAGATTTTAAGAAAGGTAAAAGAATAAATAATAATATACATGTCATGTGTGATTTTAACGACTAATTTTGCAGTATTAATCACCATATTTCTATGTGTTAAAGGCTATAAAGGCTATTGTTACATATTTTGACCTCTTTTTGATAATTTAAAGCTCTCATATAACAGACCAATGTTTTGCATAAGGCATAAATATTTCAATGAAAAAAAGTTCCTAAAATGGGTCATGATAATTTGTTTGTTTTAGTTTGTTTTACGTCACATCGACACAGTATAGGTCATATCGCGACATTCCAGCTTTACTGGTGGAGGAAGACCTCAGGTGCCCTTCCGTGCATTATTTCAGGCACAAACGGGCACCTGAGTAGAACCACCGACGTTCCGTAAGCTAGCTGGATAGCTTCCTCAACATGAAAGAATCCAAAAGTCCCTGTCGGGATTTGAACCACAGCGGTGAGGGGCAAGTGGTTTGAAGTCAACGCTTAACCACTTGGCCACGGACGCCCCGGGTCATGATAAAACTCAACAATAAATACTGGTGAGCAACCTAGAACAACTTACTAGTCTTAGCTTCTGGTCCTCCTCTAGAATAAACAAAGTTACTTTTCTCCATGTAATGTTGTGCACATGCCATTATTTGCTTCAAGGGGAACCAGTCCTACTACCTGGAACCAACCACAGCAAATGTTCAACTCCTGTGGGAAAATAATACTCCAAATATAGCTACGTTTAGTTCTTTCTTAGCGTACATTTTGATTTTTAAAAAAATATGATCCCATTCACATGTTTAAAAGTACTAATAAATTCAAAATACTTTGATAAGAATATTATTCAAAAAGACCTTGACCATTATATCTAAAACATTAACTAAGAATAACTAGTTAAATATTAAATTATTACAGAAATCTTCTTGATCTGAATGATCATTTTCCTTCTTTTGAAGTATCACATGACAAGCCTTTTTCAAAGTGCCATCACTACAGGGTTTTACATACAGCTGATAAAATCATTATTTCATATGCATGTATACAGAAATATACAATTATTTGTTACCATTGAAAGCAAGTAATGTTTCGTTTATAAAAGCAATTTTGTACTATTTTTGATCCAAACAGAAAAAAAATAATTTTTCTTTGAGAGATTGTCTTTTAAAGGGGCATTTTGGGGTTTTTTTATTTTTTTCATAGTGATTTTCCTCGCATCTTTAAGACTTCCTCTACACTGTTGTTTGCGTCTGCTCAAAGTCAGTGATGTTGACAGCACCCGCGCCATTTAGCCTCCTCCATACCAACCTATTTCCTGAATTCTTTCAAACTACCTGGCTGTTAAATGTTGATGCAAAAAAAAACTTTTAGCATGCTAAAAATTCAACTATCATGCTTCTAAAAAGGTTCAGAAAAAGATGAAGGTAAATAATAAATAATCTTTTATAAAATGAATGGTTAATTTTCAATAAATATATTGCATGACTTAATGCACAACAAGTAGCACTGACCCGTGAATCCAAGTTTGAGCAGAATCAAAAAACCCGTAGCATTAA